CAGGAGGACAAACATGCAGAGATGAGTTCTTTTATGCTTTCTGCTCTGTCTAGGACAAAGATCAGTGAGGTGGATTGAAAAGTCTGTTAACGAGTGTGAAGTGCAAGCACTAAGACGGGGCAATATGGGAGAAATAAAGGCTGAGATACACATAGTGTAGGGTTATGTGCAGGCACTGAAAGATGAGGAGTTTGATTTGCATGTGGAAGGAGAGGAAGCTGGGTAAGGACAACATAAGAACAGTGGATTTTTAGGATCACTGTCTGGCATAGACTTGAAAGGCAAGATGAGAAATGAAGAGGCAGCTACATAATTGCAGTAAGATAATTTTAGAGTGTAGAGAAAACAGAGTGATAGGAATGGGGAGGGAAAGATGAACTCCAGATAGATTTTCATATGGAGACACTATTCTAGGTACAAGTTGGCTTATAGCTGAAAAAAAAGTTGCCATCTAGTTCAACTATTTGAGCTTTAGCTTATTGACCGCTTGTTTTTCTTTCTGCCTGTAGAAGCCATAAGGGTATACTTGGAAACTTGAGTTTATGGGTTCGGTCTCAGGCATGCTGGATTACTCCATGCTTTCTTTAGTGTTATCTCTGAAATGCTGTCTGTTCTCTTATAGAATCAGAGAAAAGTAGGGCTGGATTGGACCTCAGAAGGCCATCTAATTCAGCCCCCAGTTCATGGCAGGATCATTCCTGTCTAAATTACCCTACATAAGTGTTTTATTTAACCTGCTGTTAAGCACTTACTAGGGTAAGAAGTTCTACAACCTCTGTAGGGGGCCTGTTCCAGTGCTTAACCGTTCTCATAGTGAGAAATTTCTACCTAATATTCAACCTAAATGGATATGGTTCTCCAAAAACATAGCTAGATGCACAGATTGCAGATATTCACAAATGTCTCCACCTGAAGTCCAAGTCAAAGGTCCCAAGTTATTGTTGAATCCTATCAGCCATGAATGATTGGTTATAACTAGCCTTGATAAGCTGATCTAAAATGCCTTCAGCTGTATTTCCTTCTTGGAAAAGCCCTAGGCCCATATGCATTCATTAGATCTTCCCTGCCATACTTCTCTAGAACTGTCAGATTTTTTTAAACATTATTGAGCACCTTTTTGAAAAATATATACTTTCTTGCTGGTCTGGAAAATCCTATACACACACCTTTTTTTGTTGTGGAAAAAATATTTGAGGGGAAATAACTTGGCAAGTGGCATTCTTGGGATAAGTATTCTCTTATTCCAAATCAATTGTGAATCTGAGTTAAAGTATGCCCTGATTTGTTGGGTATGCTAAATTACATCCTTAAGGGATTTACTTCTCTCTGCTGGTATGAGTTAGAATTGTTTTTAAAGCTATAATGTAAATCAGCTATGGCTCTTGCAGCACTATTAGGTCTTTTTAAAAATAGCTCTGTGAGGCTATATAAAAGGCTTACTGATGTCAATTTTATGTCACTCAGATGGTGAGAATCTCTGTGTTAGCACCTATGTAATTCTGCCAAAATTGAATAAAATATTGAGTTGTTGTTCTTGTTGCAGGAACTTCCAATTCCAACTCCTGTGAAGACAAGATTGCCTCAAGAGGTCTTTGGTGATGCTCTGATGGTCTTAGAATTTCTTCATGCATTTGGAGAACTCTTTGATCTTCAAGATGAGTTTCCTGAAGGAGTCACCCTAGGCAAGTTATCACTTGGCAATATGCTTTATTTTATATAGTTTCATATGACTCAAATGCATTTATGAAACTTTCAAAATTTTCAGCCTATTTCACAGTGACTGATGGTGTTGATTTTTGGCTTCCTGACATCTTCTGTTGGTAGTGCTGATATTTCTAAATGAGTTCAATATGTGGTCTTGTAAATGTTGCTGGAGACCTTTTCCTTTTTTATATTGAAGTGTTTGATATTCTACTACAGTGTCAACAAACTGCAGGTCCACTGTGGAGCCACTAGATCCAGCTGGCAGAGCTGTAGAGGGTTTGCCTGTGCCCACAGTAGGGCTGAGCAACAAGGAGCTGTATGCTGGGTCTGGGTAGCTTTCAGCTATGCATATATGTACCACCATCACTTCTCTCCAGCTGCAACATGGGTACAGCTTCCAGCTGGGGAGGAACTGTGATGGGGCCAGTTTCACCTGTGACTGTGCTGCAGGCAGGAGTGCAGGAGGGAAACAAGGAGAAGCAGCAGCAAAATAGATGCTGTTTTGCAGCTGTCCAGCCCCTGCTTAGCTCCCCATTAACTGAAAGCTGCAGCTGTACTGTAGCCAGAGAGCTGGGGGTTAATAAATGGCAGCAGCACAGGTGCAGGGGAAGAAGCCCTCATTGTCCCCATACCCCTGACATTCCCCAAAGCTACCTGGCCTGAGTTAGACATGAGCTGGGTTGTTCTGGTCTGTGGCTTATTAAAATTTGCTGGCCACTGGTTTTAGCAAATGGGCATTGTCAGTGTTTCCTTTTCACGAGCATCTCTGAAAATGTTTTGCCTCAACATGGTAATATGTTATTGGATAACTTGCCATGCTTGGGGGGGGGGGGGAATCTATTT